GACACAAATTCTTCCAAATGAACCTTCTCACCAGCTGACTTCTTTAAGTGGAGACTTTACGAGCATCATAAAGGCATGCTTCACTGAGATTTGAAGGGAGGGCAGAGGAGTGGCTGATTTTCTTTTCCGAGGTCAGAAAATCCTTACAGAATAGCTTGGTCCCAGAGCAGAGAGAAGGCAGCAAAGCACCAGTATGAACGCATCAGGTTCTCCAGATGTGGTGTCGTGAGCTGATACCTGACTGGTTGGTCCTGACTTTTGTGAAGAGACAGTGGGTGCAGTGTGTATCTTAGGAGTTTGTTGTTTGTCCTTCTTTATGCTGTCAATTGCTCAGACCTTCCCTTCTTTATCCTGTCCTTTATAAAAACAACAACCCAAGCTGCTGACAACCCAAACCACAGACTAACTCTGCAATGTTTGAGTCAAATTCAAGAGTGTCTTGTCTTATTTTTCTGAAGACCTTAATCATGGTCACTTGCTTGATGTTTGGCTTGTTCAAATGATGCTTCTCTTCTTTAAGCCAGCGTTTTAACCCTTTAGAAGCTGTACCCTCTTTGGATGAATACAAAACAGCAGTACAAGGTAGACCCTTTCCCATTTCTTTGGAGAGTTTGACTTTTCTACCTGTTCCCCTGGCTCCGACTTTGAGATTCATATGGTTTGTGAAGTCATAGTATCTGAGAATATGCCACCAGACTTTGCCTGCTGTCATTTCTATAATAAAAACAAGAGATATTTGCTGCTCTCCAATATATGTATGCATGTATGCATGTATAGGATGAGGTAGGCTTTGACACTTTACATTACACCATTTTGTACTAATATACCCACTTTTCCCAGAATGTCTTAGGGGAGTCAGACTTCCTGAAGGCCATGCATGATCCATGATAATTGTTTCTCCAAATCATGAGCTCTCCCCTCTCCCCCCATCCTGTTACTTGCCCCTCTTAAAATCAAAGTTTTATAGCTCTAGGTGGCCTTCAAGATCATCTGTTACCACCCCTACATTTTATAGAAATAGATTCTCGAAGGTTTCAGGATTCTCAGAGCCATCTATTGAGTTAGAGTGCAGATCCCCAACAGAAATTCAGATGGCCAGCTCACATGCTTGATGGTCATGCTTTACGCTGTCAACTGCTCAGATCTTCCCGTTTTTATCCTGGCCTTCATAAAGACAGAAATCCAACGCTGCTGACAACCAAAACCACAAGACAAACTCTGCAAATGTACTTAATTTTCATTTACACTTTTATTTTACAATAGCTACAAGGTTGAGCAAACATTTACTCAGTTGCTACAAATCCAGATGTCCCCCTTCCCCCAATATAATAAATGATACTGTTTGAGAAATAGATAATCCCCAGTTTCTAGTAGATTACAATGTATTGGGAGACAAACCTGAAAGATGCTGAGTTTGTGGTCAATTGTGACCTCAGAGAGCTCTTAAAATGCATTTAATAATGAACAATTTCTCTACTCCTACCCCGTAACCAATCCTTCTATAGTTCTTTTGTCTCAAGAACTATTTGTGAAATTGGAAGGAATATAGAAACAAGCAAGAGTCATGTATTGATAAATTTAGTTTTAATTATAACCCAAAGCTCAACAGCAGTACAAGGTAGATACAATTACGATTTTTTAAGATGGGGAAATGGAGGCTCAGGATGACTCTGTGGCTAGTCCTCGATTGCTCAGTGAAACAGGATTTTGCGGTTGAAGGGTCTGTTATCAGAACCCGAAGTCCCCCTTCTATTATATGAAAGGAAGAATATAATAAAGAAGTAATAATCAAATTAGGGCAAAACAGGTTGTTGGACATTATAGTTTTGTCACAGTGAGATTACAGATACATCAAATTAACTGACTGTGAGAGGATTTTCAATAGGCCACCTGTCATATTTGTCTTTCTTAAAGTTGTGTGAATTTTTACAGGAGTCTGGGTTTCATCAGAGTAGGTCATCGATGTGACATGCTTTCAGGTGTTACCTTTGCTAAAGTTGCCTTTTATTTATCTAAGAGCCAGCTTGAAACAAGGGCAAATGCCTCAGAGATCAGAGGTGTTAAGTCTAAAGACTTTGGGGCAACAATGGACTTGCGCACCCACAATAATCAGGGTTATTTTTAAGGAGAAAGTTGCCTACTGAGATCCTTTCTGTTTGCAGAAGGTGAGCCTGGCAATCTCCTGGTTTGCTCAGGGGGCTCTTGGTCCTGTAAAGCTCTCTCCTATAAATCATCAGTAAACTGTGGGATAGTGCTTTGTAATTTTTGTGTGTGTGCATTTTTTCATGGAGAAGGGGAAATAGGCAGCAGAGATCTGACACATCTAATCAGATGTACATTCTGTTATTCAGTTGACACTTACCTGGTACATTCAAGAGTTTACCCCAGTGTAAACCAAAGTAAGATATTTATAGATTTTCAAACATGTGATTTCCAAATCTATAAAACTTTT